GAATTTTGTTTTTGTTTTGTTTTTTGTTGCTAATAAGGCATGTTATAAGATGTACTGCAATAATAGCTGCTATTCCAGACAAGGACATGCATATTAACAAGGTTGTAGATAAAGATACCGGTAATAATGTAACTGTAGATATAAAAGTTAAGCCATAATGGCAGTGTCCTTTACATTTTATAAAATGACGATAGAGCCAACAATCCTGTTTCCAGAAATGTTACATTTTCATGTTTCTAATAAAATAATGGTCTCTGTGTCCTTCAGCTGAGTAGATTTTGACTTATGGTGGACATGACAATTATTTCTGAAATGTAGAATTTATTTTAGGACTTAGTTAGTTTTTAACCTCAGCATCTGCTTTTTAAAGATCTATTACTGTCTTCAAAACATCTGCTGAGATGAGAGCCTTTTTATAAACTTTAGAACAGCACAGGTAATCTTGAAGATAACATTTGTTTGGTAAGGGACTGTGAAAAGTAATGCCTCTCAATGCTAATGATTTATTTTTGTCAGTGCAAGTGAAGTAAAGTGCTTCAACTTTTGTCAAGGAGCAACCGGACTTCAAAACCTCATCAATAATATTGTGATTGATGTTGCCAGCAACTACAATGACCTTTAAGTATTGAGTTATTCTTCGCTTTTTTCCAGATTTGTTCGGACCCCAAGCTGCGTCCAGGCTTCCTCACAGAAAAAGCAATGGAACCGGCCGTCAAGTACATCAATAAGAAATTTCCTAACATTGACTTTAGAGGAAACATTGTAAGTAGGGCTGTCTTTGCTCAAGCTTTTTTCTCCTTTTTCTGAATCTAACAGAATATGGTCTAACTCCAAATATATCCAATGTGGTGCCATTAATAATATAGATCAATCATGTAATGGTAATTTTCAAATGATAATATGTTTTTTGTGGTTGATTGAATTAGTTACTTTACATCTGACCAGTTATTCCTTTTTTTTTTTATATTCGGTGTTAAAGCAAAACCTCACCAGCATCCAACGACAGAAATCTGAGGTGTTAGCAGCTACAGCAAGCTACTATGACTCCTTCCTGGACGTCATAGAGTTCAGGGTGATTATTGTTCTTTTCTCTTCTTCCCTGTTTGTTTGACTTATTTTTCCCATGTAATAAAAATATTAGATTGTCTCACATAACATAAAAATATGTTTTTCTTAAACAGTAACCTGTGACGGAGTAAATAAGCTATTTATTGTTTTCTAATGGATAAAAAGCTTTGTTTCTCCTTATCTCAAAGAGGTCTATGTTTTTCAAATAATGTTTTAATTCAATTTGCTTATTCAAAACAACTGGAAGATAACAATGTTGTTATCATTGTTACCAATCCTTTCTTTTATTTGGCTCCTGTGCAGGGCCAGTGCATCATTACCCTTTAATTATTCATTATGCAGATCTGTCTTTATTAATCAGTTGTTGTTTTTATGTCAATGTTAGGCAGACGAAGAGATGAAAAAATATATATATATATATTTTGTTATTGTCAGTACTGCTGTTTGTCCCAACACATAACCTTTCTGTTTTTCTCTCAGGATCATGTTTATGAGCTGCTGAACACTATTGATGCCTGTCAGTGCTTCTTTGATATTGTAAGCATTCTTTGGCATAATTCAAATGATGTCACATGTTGCTGTTATTAGATTTTTACACTTCTGTGACCATTTAGTTTACTCATGCATTTTTTTCATGCTCTAAATTCTTTTTTTTTTTTTTTTTGCTGTTCTGTTTACCAGTACTAAAAGTCTTTTCTTTTTTTTTTTTACTTCAAAAAAGGACTTGCGCATAATACTGCTGTCACACTATTTTGTCGTTTAAAACGATATAATCCCAAAGGACCTCTTATAAAATTCTAATGTATGACCAAATAAAATAATTAAACCTCATTTAACACCAAAGTGTGAGTTTTGGTGAAGATGCACCTACAAGACCTAGAAAGTTAAGACTGTAAATGATGGCTTTGCCCACTTCCTGTTTGATTAATGCATATATGGATGTACACATTTGAGGACAACTATAGAACAATGAAAATTGAATTCCCAGATTGTCACCTTATTATTCAAAATGAAAATTTTAAAAATGACAATCATAAAACTATGCTGTGAGGTCAAAGTAAAGCATATGTACTTTCCCCTGAGACAGTGAAACATTCAGTCATTCCTCTATACTTGCACTTTACAAAATAGGATTTCAAAAGATTATTCACATTCTTTAAACATATTACAGGAACTGATAGTCCCCAAAAGGCAATTCATGACCTCATGTTTAGACCTTAGTACCAGCCGCATGATTCATTTTACACATTTTACATTATATAATCTGTCCTGTTGTAGTGATGAAGAAAATGTTTTAGGTGGTGTTGAAAAACTAATGAATGGACGAATTTTCTTAACAATACTACCTTTTTAAATTCAGGCTTTCAACTTCGATTTTACCAAAAACTACTTGGATCTGATAACCACCTACACGTCAGTTATCGTCATGCTCTCTCGCATCGATGACAAGAAGGCCTTGGTGGGAATGTTCAACTGTGCTCATGAGATGACCAATGGGAGCAGGTAAGGAAAATAAAAATGCTGAACATAATTCAGGTTTACTGGAAAATGATCAATGCATATCCTGACCTCCAAGGGGTAGATCAGTGACCATTCAATCCTATATGTAGATTGTACAGTAGCACTATTGGAAGAAACCAGAGAATCTGGAAGTAGTCAAATGCATGACTAAACATGGACACGTGTTGAATAAATGCGCCATTACAGGTGTAATTAATTGCATTTCTCAATATAGCTGATTTAAACAAAAATTCTTTACAGGCTTATTACCACAAGTGTAAGAGAACCAGGTGATTTTTAAACCTGTCTGCTATATTCAATTTAAATAGTATTTGTTTTTGCACAATATAACATTGGCTTTTTTTTCACAATTTAATGGAACTCCTCAACACCTAAATCTGTGAAATACCTTCATAAAAAAATATTTTTATATATATATATATATATATATATATATATATATATATAATATGTTGCTATTGCAGTTCTGTAGCACCATCACATTCTTGCTGAAAAACCTTTAATTTCTATCAATTGGGAATCAAATAATTTTTCTTGCAACAACCACACCTGCAGTGATCCCTCTTACCCACGGCTTGGACAGATGTTTTTGGAATATGACCATCCATGGAAGAAGCTGACTGAAGAGTTTGGTCCTCACACCAAGGTAAATTCATCTCAAGGTGGTTTGGTTTATGTATCATTAGATATTGTATAGATTTTTTTCTAATTCACCTGAGGATTTCAACCTATCAACACATGGGATTCGATGCTTCAGTCCTGAAACCAAACTATTTACAGTATTATTATGGTCTAGGTTTGCAATAAGATGATGTGATAGGATAATTGGAGCATAATAGATTTCAAGCATGTTTTTGGCCTATCCTGGTGGGCTGTGAACTTTGAAATTAATGTAATGTAACTTATCAAATTAAACCGAAGCAGCAGTGTTTGGTTAAATATTTTATTTTGTTTTATTTCTACCAGTAAATGTTGCATCTTATTTATTATGAAATATTTATTTGTGTATCAAATAGAATGTTAAATTTAAGATTTTTTTCTCCTTATTGCTTTTTATCACTGTCCTTAATTATTCATTTAATTTCCTCTGTCTTACTTCTCTTCTTCTCAGTCTGTGACAGCAGCCTTGCTTTCACTGAAGACAATCTACCCTCGCAGGAACCTGCCTGCAGAACAATGGAGGAGTGCTCAGCTCCTTAGCCTGCTCAGCACCCCAGCTGCCATGCTAGACCCAGCCTGCTGTGAAACTGTGAGTCTGCTTTCATATTTCGGGCTCTGCTATTTATTACTTTTTTGTTTTAAGCTAAAATGCTTATTGACATTTTAGGCTCTCTGAAGGCTTCACATATTCATTCTAATAGAATGACTGTGACCTGGATGACTGAGAATCTTCATCAGCATGCTTCGCATATTGTTTTTTTTTTTTTTTTTTCTCTCTCTTTTGTATGTTATTTTATTAATTTTCACCATACTTAAAAAAGTTTAAAAAAAAAAAAAAGTCTGACTGGTTCATAAACACCTTACAAGCAGTCTGCTAAAAGTCCCAACAATGTTATATATTCCTAAAATAAAGGAGACAGAGATGGATGGATGGATGGATGGATGGATGGATGGATGGATGGATGGATGGATGGATGGATGGATGGATGGATGGATGGATGGATGGAAGGACGGAAGGACGGACAGACAGACAGACGGA